ATGGGGGTCAGCCTTGGCGGAGCCCAAGGCATGAAGATCCAGAAGAGCTTGGTTCAGGTTCTTCTCCACGGCCAGGGCAGCTTCCATGGCATCCAAGGTCTTACCCCACTCATCTTCGGAAGGTTTCTGCACGTCCTGGAACAGAGCGCGGCCGCCGCGCTGGTTTTGCATCTTCAGCAGACGCTCGGCGCCCTCGCGTTTCTCCTCAGCCAGCTCGCGGAAGAAATGGGCCACGCCCGCCAGAGCCACATCGTCGCGGGCGAAGTAGTGACCCTGCGGGAAGAGACGGCGGGAATGCGCGGCCCCCGCCCCCGCCCCCGCCCCGAACAAAGGAGGCCTGCGCATGCGCCCTGGCGGGCTGCGCAGTTGGGGCCTCCGCCCGGGGCGTCCCGCCGCCGCTTACCAGAGAGAGGTAGGTGTAGGAGGCCCGCAGGTGCAGGTTCACCAAGCGGTTGACGGCAGCCTCCACCTCGGTGGAATAATTCTGACGAACCTGAGAGGACATGGCTGGTCGGCAGTGAGGAGCTACCCACAAAAGAACGGTGTTGTCGGGTCCTGGAAGGAGACAGGCGAGAAGATGGTCCCGAGATTTGTACCTGGAAGGTGGCTGAAGAGAAGAGAGGGAGTCCCCGGGTCTGCTCCGTCCAAACACTGTTGAAGCAAGAAACAGATCCGCGGGACCTCCGGACGCGCCGCTGGGAGCCGCACGCTGGGCGGCGGCTTTTATAGCACGCTGACTCTCGGAGGCGGGGCGCGCAGGACGAGCGAAAGGCCAATCCGCAGCGGAGGGAGGCGGGGCCTGGAGGCTGTGCCTGACCAATCCCGAGCAGAAGGGAGTCTCGCCGCCCCTCCCCCCACCCTGAGGTGGAGAAGTCACGCGCCTGAAGCGCGAGGCTGTTGGGAAACGGGGGACTGGGGGAAGGGGTGGGGGTTGGGGGTTGATTTGGAAGTCAGGGGGCTCCGGGAGGGCCTTTCAGGGAGGTGAGCGATTTATGGGGACACTGGGGCCGTGGAAAATGATGATTATGAGGCCATGGTGGGGGAATCTCAGCGAGCAGGCCTCTGGGATTGTGACAACGTGGGCTTTTCTAGAAGGTTCCCTGAGGCGGGGTGGGGGTGGGGCGTAGCTCAGAAGGTGCTGAGGAGACCCGGGGATTTCTCTGCACGATAAGGGGGTGTCTGAGTCACTGGCAAGTTTGGGAGAAGGTGAGATGATATAGGTCGAGAGAGAGGGTCCTGGGGAGCTCAAAACTGGGGTTCACGATAGGAAATCCGTGTATTTCTGGAGCCCTCGAGGCACAGACGCTTAAACTCTTGCGGTGAGCTACAAGAGTGCCTGTACTGGTGTCTCTGGAAGCCGAGCAGGGTGTTTTGAGAAGTAAGGCAAGCCGGGCGTGGTGGCACATGCCTGTAATCCCAGCACTCGGGAGGCTGAGGCAGAAGGATCGTTGCGAGTTCGAGGCCAGCCTGGGCTACAAAGTGAGCGCATGGCCAATCTGAACTGCATAGCGAAACCCTGTCTCAAGGCCGGGGATATAGCTCAGTGGCATAAGCGCCTGCCTGGCAAGCGCAAGGTTCTGAGTTCGATTCTCGGTACCAAAAACAAACAAACGAAACCCTGTCTCAAAAAGACAAAAAAAAAGAGAGAGAGAGAGAGAAAAGTAGGTCGGCGTGTGGGACTCCAGCGGGCCTGTTGCAGCCCCGGAAAGACGGAGAGCCCTTTAGTGGCGCGGTGTTATCCTGGAAGCCAGGACTCCCTTGGAGGAAGGAAAGGAGCGCGCTTTGGGATCTCTGGAACTACAGTTCTGGGGTTTGTTCAGGGGAGCTGAGGCTCTGGGAGTTTGGGGCCCTGAGAAAGAAAGTCTGTAGTTCTAGTGTTTCCCCTGGCCCCTGCTTCTTCGGGTCACAGTGAAGCCCTAGGTCCTGGAGAAACATGGCTTGGGGGCCTAGGACAAGCCTTTGTTTGTTTTTTATGCAGTTCAGGCTGGCCTTGAGCTCACTTTGTAGCCCAGGCTGGCCTCGAACTCGCAATGATCTTCCTGCCTCAGCCTCCCAGGTGCTAGGATTGCAGGCGTGCGCCACCACGCCCGGTTTAGGACAAGCTTTTAAAGTGTGCCAGCATCACCCTGCTGTCTGGGGGACAGAGTTGGTTCAAGCCACATCCTGACCTACAGGGAACTCAGACCTCCACTGAGCCACATCTTGGGGGCACCTCGAAGACAGAGCGCCGTGCTCCTGTTTATGTGCCCCCTGGAGGCGGCCGGGGAAGCCGGAGCCCCCGGTGGGGTGAGCGGCGCAGTGCTGAGTCATGCTGAACTCAGCGAGGGAAGGGGCTGGGCGGGCAGGGCGCTGACCTCAGCCCTCAGAGCCGCGCTGGGGTTGGGAGCCGGCGGGGACCCCGCCACCAGGCCTGGGGCTGCCCCGAGCCCGGCCCCGAGGTGCGGCCCGGCGGAGCCCCGCATGCGACCTGTTTCTGCCTCTGCCCCCTGGTGCTGCTTCTGCTCGCGACCTGCTGCGGACCTGCCGCGGTCTTGGCGTCCCCTCTCCCGGGTGGCGGCCCTGGCTCCCCTCATAGCTTTCCCGTGACGTGGCGTCTGAGGTGAGGGCTGAGGTGGGCCAGGGGCCCGGCGCCCCGCTGATTAGGGAAGCGGGAGTTACTCATTGACCACACAGCACACCGCAGCGAGGGACCTTTAGCCTCAGGCAGGTCCTGGCCTGGAGTGGCGACCTTGAAGGGGCCCCTCCCAGGGCGGAAGAGGAGCAAGGCTAGGACAAAGATGACAGAAAACCAGGGATTGACCCGACTAGAGCTGTGAAACAAGGACGGGGACCCAGAGGGAAGAGATTGGGAGGAGGGCAGAGTCCTCAAGGAGCGACAGAACCCCGAAAGAGGCCGGGCGTGGTGGCGCACGCCTGTCATCCCACCACTCGGGAGGCTGAGGCAGGAGGATCGTTGCGAGTTCGAGACCTGCCTGGGCTACAAAGTGAGCTCAAGGCCAGCCTCAACTGTATAGCGAGACCCTGTCTCAAGAAGACAAAAAACAACAAAAAAAGAAACCTGTAAAGAGGACTGAGTGTGGTTGGACATGCTGGCTGTAACCCCAGCACTCTCGATGGGTGGCCTCTGCTCCTGGGGGGCAGGACTAGGACTGAGCCCTCCTTTGTCCAGGCAGCACTGAGCGCACACAGAAAAAGGCAGGGCGAGTACTCCAGGTCTTCGAGGTACCAGGTGAGCAGTGGCAGCCGTGGCCCGCACTGTCCCCAGGCGGTGGAGGCCGCTGACTATGACTCCAGACTGTGGCCCGAAAGTGGTTTATTGCCCCTGTGGTCCACACTGCCCTCCCCTCCCAATAATTACAAAAGTAAGAAAAACGCCCCGTCCCGTCCCTTCCTCCCACCAAAATGCCATAATTTATGCAGAAAAGACACAGTCCAAGGTGGCTGCGGCCTCAGCCCATGTTCTTCCAGATGGTGAGCGAGGCAGTGAGCACACCGGCCACAAAGATGGTCACCGTCTGCCAGGTCGGGGTTCCAAAGTAGGAGAGGAGGCCGTCCTGGGATAGAGAGACCACCTCAGCCAGTCAGCAGGCCACTTCTGGGCCTGCATGGCGGGTCAGGGATTGAGGGCCCAGGAGCTGCGGGGAGGGGGGCCACAGGGACATCTGGGAACCTCCCAGGCTAGAACAAGGGAGGAGAGGTGTCACAGCACGGTCAGGGCCACCTGCTCACTCAGGCTGACGAGATATGTGAGGTTTCACAGGTGGCCTGGGGCAGGAAGGGGTGTGCCCCTGGGGACCGCGAAAGGCCCATAGGTCCCTAGACATCTCACCCAACCACCCTGGTCCTGGATCCAGCCCAGCAGCCGGTCTCGGAGGAAGTCCAGTGTCCAGCCCATAATGGTCCTGATCAGCTCGGGTACCTTGGTACACAGCGCCTGCAGAGTGCAAGAGCATGAGGGGCGGGCCTCGGCCCCGCTGCCTGGGGAATGGGCCCTCAGCCTGCTTTTCCAGCCTCTGCCTCCCCTGGCTGTCTCTTCCTCCATTATTAATAAACTGTATGTCAGGTCATGCTGCTCTCACCTGCCCTGCTCCTGAACCCTCAGTGGCTCCCCAGAGCCCTCAGAATTCCAGAGGGCTCTGGGCTGATACCATCTCAATTTCCTTTTCTGCTTTTGTTCTGTGCCTTACACACCTTCTGTTTGTAGTACTGGGGGTTGAACCCAAGACATTCACGCTGGGTTACATCGCCAGCTCCTCCCACTCCTTTGAGGCAGGGTCTGGCTAAATTGCCCAGGCTAGGCTTGAACTTGTGACCCAGATCTTCCAGAGTGCTAGATTACAGATGTGCACCACCACACCTGCCTTGTGTTTGGGTGTTTTGTGTAGATACAGGGTCTCACGTCACCCAAGCTAGTCTGGAACTCCTGGACTCAAGCAAGCAATCCTCCTGCTTCTGCCTCTGGAGTAGTCAGAATAAGTATGTGGCACCATGCATAGAGGTCTATTCTTTCCCACCAGATGCTTCCCTGCCTCAGGACCTTTGAATGTGCTGGCCCTTCTGACTAAATCGACCCCAACTAAGCAAAGCCCTACTCATCACTCAAAGCCCAGGTCAAATGTGACTTCCCAGGGAGGCCTTTGTGGAACACCCCCAACCCCTGACCTATTCTCTCACCTCCAAGGACCTCCAGGCAGCCTTCATCTGCCTGCTTCTCCACTCTTGTCCCAGATCCACACCACTGCACTGTCATGCTGAGGGCTGCCTCCTTCACCCCTTAACAACGATGCCCCATCACACAATCCTGTACACACTGCAGGCTTAGAGTGCAGTGTGATGGTAAAGTGCGTGCTTAGCCTGTGGGCGTCAGTCCCAGCACCACACACACACACACAGGCGCACACATGCACTCTCCACTTTCCGACCTGCACTGCAAGCATCTGAGGCCAGGGGGATCTTTCAGTAGCACTGTGACAGGTGCCACCTGGACAGGTTCCCTGCCCTTGTGCCCAACTAATTCTGTGTGTGTGTGTGTGTGTGTGTGTTGCTGGGGTCAAACCCCAGGCCTTGCACCATGTGCTAGGCACACACTGAGTACAACCCCAAGCCTGTCTTTTTTGTTTTTTGAAACAGGATCTTGGTATGTAGTTGAACTCACTATGTAGCCCAGGCTGGTGCTGAACATGCAGCGATCCTCCTACCTCAGCCTATCAAGTGCTGGGATTACAGGTGTCCACACCACCCCAGCAGACCTGTATGTTTTTTCTGTAGTACCCAGGGTCTTCCCACGGAACTGCATCCCTACCCTTTTTTATTTTTTGAGACAGGTGCTAGATAAGTTGCCCAGGCAGGACCTGAACTTGTGATTCTCCTGCTTCAGCCTTCCTCAATGCTGGGACTACAGATTCACACCACCGTGAATGGCTCTTCCTTCCTTATTTTCACCAATATTTTCCTGAGAATCTTCACAGGGAACAACTGAAATAACTCCACCATGAGCAGCTGGACTGATGCAGACTGAACCATTCAGTTAACATTTTGCTGTATGTATTAGAGTAATCTCTTAAATTCATAAAACCTGGCCACCTTGTTCCTTTGTTTAAAATCAATGCTGAGGCTGGGCATGGTGACGCACGCCTGTAATCCCAGCACTGGGGAGGCTGAGGCAGGTGGATTCTTACGAGTTTAAGAACCAGCCTGGGCTACAAAGTGAGCTCAAGGCCAGCCTAGGCTGCATAGCAAGACCCTGTCTCAAAAAAGCGAAAACAAACAAACAAAAATCAATGCTGGGCACAGCAGCAGATGCCTGTAACCCCAGCTCGTTGGGAAGCTTAGGTAGAAAGATCACAAGTTCAAGCCCAGCCTGGGTGACTTAGCAAGACCCTGTCTTAAGTAAAAAGGCTGGGGATGTGGCTCAGTGGGGAGGCCCTGAGTTCAAATCCTAGTATTGCAAAAAAACCAAAACAAACCAAAACAAAAACCCAAAGCAAACCAAAAAAAAAAACCCCAAAAAACAGAAAACGAAACAGAAAACAAAAACTAAAACCAAAAAACCCCAGCCACATCAGGTGAGGCAGCACACACCTGTAATCCCAGGTACCTGGGAGGCTAAGGAGAAGGAGCAGAGGTTCAAGGCCAACTTTGGGAGCCTGTCTCAAACAGAAGGCTGGGAGCGTGGCTCAGTGGTAGAGCACTTGCCTATAAGGCACGAGGCCCTGGGCTCAACTGCCAGCAACCAGCTCAACTCTGTTCTCACTTCCCTTCCTCTCACCTGCCTCCTGCCTGTCTCACAATACAGCAGCTGCCCGCTGCCCTCACCACACCAGGCTTGACCCTGCCTCAGGGCCTTTGCACTTGCCCTCTTATCAGATGCCTTTGCTCCTTGATCCTTATCTATCAAAGCATCACTTTCACTGTCTGCCTGATCTCGGAAGTCTTTCCTGACAACATTGCTCAATCACACCAGCCGACAATACCCTGCAGCACTTGTCATACAATCTCAGCTCCTTTTAAGCATAGGGACCAGCCTTCTTTGCCCAGTGCTGTGTCTGGAGTTCCATGTGTAACATGTTTGTTGAATGAATAAATGAAGGTGCAGACAGTCTACAGCTGTCTCTTTTCCTTTCCTCTGCAGTCCCTGGGTTGAGTCAGAGGTTGACCCCACGATCCCCAGGTCTCCACAGGTCTAAGGGGAGCACCCTCGGGCTCAATGCCCTGCAGCTGCCCACCTTGAGCACCAGTTTGCTGGCAAAATAGAAAAGGGCAACAACCCGGCCCCAGTTGAAGTTGCCATCAGCAAACATTTCAGCGGCCACTCGGAAAAAGACCTCTCGGGGCGAGTCTGTGTCCACAGCCGCAATCATCCTGCAGGAAAGGGGAGAACGGGTGCTAGGGAGGGAGAATCTGGAAATTCTGGTGTTCACCCCATGCCCAGGACCAAGACACTGAGGCCCAAACAAGGCTGCAAGGAAAGCAAGAGGCCAACAGGGTTGGGAAGGGGACAAGATGGACACTTAAGGGTTTTTATTGTGCTTGTTTTGAGACAGGGTCTCGCTATGTAGCCCAGGCTGGCCTTGAACTCACAGCGATCCTCCTGCCCCAGCCTCCTGAGCACTGGGATGACAGGTGGGCACTGTCACACCCGGAAAGATGGACATTCAGGAAGGTAGGAAGAATGACCGAACCCTGAAGGAGGGTCCCAAGATCTGGGGAGAGGGGAAGACTGGGAGTCCAGAAGTAAGGGGCGGGGGCACAGAAGGCTGAGGGGACCCCTGGCAGGAACGCTGGGATCCCAGAGCCACACCTCTGCAGCTCCATATTGCTGTCCAGTTCGTCCCCAATCCGCTTGAGACACTCGCTCAGCTTCTTGGTGGACGCGTCCTGGGGCGCCTGCTCCATGGCCAGCTCCAGGGTGTCCCCGCCCATGTGCCCTGCTCGATCCTGGATGAAACTACATGGGAATGGAGTGGGGTGCAGAATCAGAACGGGGTGTCACCCGCCAATCCGCTCCACAATAATCAGACCTCCAACTCACCCCTGAAGCAAAAGGGCCCCTGTCTTCATGATGTGCTCAGAGCTGGTGGGCCCTGGAGGAGAGAGGAGGGAAGAGGTGCCTGGACTCTTGGGTCCTGAGGGACCAGGGGACGGCAGTGGCTCGGGGTCCCTGAGGGCAGACAGGGCCGGGAGCCCAGGACTCCAGGGTCCCTGCCAGACGAAGCGACTGGGAGCCCAGGCAACGGAGGCCCTGATGGAGAGCAAACGGGGAGTCTGGGCCTGCACCCCACATTCTTCAAGCCGAGCCGACTGGGGGAACCTGGCTGCACCCGGCCCCTAACCTGGGGGGGAGAGGGGAGACGCCCCTCCCAGCAGGGCCCCAGGCAGGAAGTGGTGCGGGCGACAAGCCCGGGCCTGCCCCCGGGGTTGTACTCAGGGGTCCCCGGGTTTTCTGGCTCCAGGGGCGCCAGGCAAGAAGGGATCGGGGCGCGGAGGTCGGCGGGCCGGGAACCTCCAGGAGGGACGGGGCTGGCGGCTGGGAGCGCCCGCCGCGCGAGTTTGTGCCCAGAAGAGCTCGGCGATCTCACGGTTCCGTGCCAGCAGGAGGGCTCCGGGGCGGCCGGCGGCAACCTCGCCCGCCGCCCGCCTC